TATATGTGAAATAAATGTAGGAGTATCAGTCAGCGCCACCAGTAGCCATGGCCGTGAGTGGGGCACACACATTTTGAGCCTGTTTGGTGTGACGTAGCACGTGAACTTGTTACGAGTGGGCAGCTGACCAATAGTCGCTCGTATACAACCTAAAGGCACAAAGTCTGCCAGTACGAGACCCTCGTTAATGAATAAGGGAAGAAGTGTATACCTAAGGGCTCGTTTTTCCGTGTTTTTACACAATAATATTGAGATGTAACAGACAATAATGCCAAAGAATGTATAGGGGAAGATATTAGACCAAATTGTAATGTAAATATGAAGAAAAGTGGGCGAAAAAATAACTTACCTTGGAGAGGATCGAAACCTGTGACCTTTGAATGACGCGTTCGATGCTCTACCACTGATTTACAACGACAGCTATCCCCCCAGCCACTTTATAGGGTTTATATGTGAATTAAACGGGGAAGTGTCAGTCAGCGCCACCAGTAGCCATGGCGGCGAGTGTGGCACACTCTTTTTGAGCCTAATTGGCGTCACATGGCACGTGAACGTGTTACGAGTGGGCAGCTGACCAATAGTCCCTCGTATACAACCTAAATGCACTAAGTCTGCCAGTAAGAAATCCTCGTTAATGAGTAAGGAAAGAAGTGTATACCCAAGAGCTCGTTTTTCCGTGTTTTCACACAATAATAAGGAGATCTAACATACAATAATGCCAAGGAAAGTATACGAGAAGATATTAGACCAAATTGTAATGTAAATACGAAGAAAAGTGGGCGAAAAGATTACTTGCCATGGGCAGGATCTGAACCGGCGACCTTCGAATGACGTGTTCAATGCTCTACCACTGATTTATCACGACAGCTATCCCCCAGCCACTTTATAGGGTTTATTTGTGAAATAAACGTGGGAGTGTCAGTCAGCGTCACCAGTAGCCATGGCGGCGAGTGTGGAACACTCTTTTTGAGCCTATTTGGCGTCACGTAGCACGTGAACGTGTTACGAGTTGGCAGCGGAGCAATAGTCCAGTCTTATACAAACTAAGGCACTAAGTCCTGCCCCAGTAAGAGACTCGCGGTAATGATAAAGAAATAAGCTATACCTAGGGGTCGTTTTTCTGTGTTTTTTTACACAATAACAATGAGAATAACAGACAATGACGCCAAGGAAATTATAGGAGAAGATATTAGACTAAAAATGTAAATGTAAGTGAAGAAATTCGGTGAAAAGATAACTTGCCGTGGGCAGGATCCGAACCTGCGACCCTAAATGACGCGTGTGATGCTCTACCACTGGGCTACAACGACAGCTATCCCCCAGCCGATTTATAGGTTTATATGTGAATTAAACTGGGAGTGTCAGTCAGCGCCACCAGTAAGGCATAGCGGCGAGTGTGGCACACTCTTTTGAGACTGTTTGGCGTCACGTAGCACGTGAACTTTGTACCAGTGGGCAGCTGACGCAATAGTCCCTCGTATACAACCTTGACACTGAGTTTTGCCAGTACGAGACCCTCGTTAATAAGTAAAGAATACGTGTATACCTAAGGGCTCGTTTTTCCGTGTTTTTACACAATAAAAATGAGACCTAACAGACAATATTGCCAAGGAAAATATACTGGAATACATTAGACCAAATTGTACTGTAAATATGAAGAAAAGTGGGTGAAAAGATAACTCGCTGTGTGTAGGATCTGAGCTTGCGACCTTCGAATGACGCGTTCGATGCTCTACCACTGAGTTACCCCGACAGCTATCCCCCCGGCCACTTTATAGGGTTTATTTGTGAAATAAACGTGGGAGTGTCAGTCAGTGTCACCATTATTCATGGCGGCGAGTGTGGAACACTCTTTTTGAGCCTATTTGGCGTCACGTAGCACGTGAACGTGTTACGAGTAGGCAGCTGACCAATAGTCTCTCGTATACAACCTAAAGGCACGAAGTCTGCCAGTACGAGACCCTCGTTAATGAGTAAGGGAAGAAGTGTATACCTAAGGGCTCGTTTTTCCGTGTTTTTACACAATATTATTGAGATGTAACAGACAAAATGCCAAGGAAAGTATAGGGGAAGATATTAGACCAAATTGTAATGTAAATACGAAGAAAAGTGGGCGAAAAGATTACTTGCCGTGGGCAGGAATTCGAACTGCGACCTTCGAATGACGTTCAATGCTCTACCACTGACCTACCACGACAGCTACCCCCCCCCGCCACTTTATAGGGTTTATATGTGAATTAAACGTTGAAGTGTCAGTCAGCGCCACCAGTAGCCGTGGCGGCGAGTGTGGTACACTCTTTTTGAGGCTGTTTTGCGTCACGTAGCACGTGAACGTGTTACGAATGGGCAGCTGACCAATGGTCCCTTGTATACAACCTAAAGGCACGAAGTCTGCCAGTATGAGACCCTCGTTAATGAATAAGGGAAGAAGTTTATACCTAAGGGCTCGTTTTTCCGTGTTTTTATAAAATAAAATTGAGACCTAACAGACAATATTGCCAAGGAAAGTATAGGGCAAGACATTAGACCAAATTGTATTGTAAATATGAAGAAAAGTCGGTGAAAAGATAACTTGCTGTGCGTAGGATCTGAGCTTGCGACCTTCAAATGACGCGTTCGATGCTCTACCACTGAGTTACCCCGACAGCTATCCCCCCCGGTCCACTTTATAGGGTTTCTATGTGAATTAATTGTAGGAGTATGAGTCAGCCCCACCAGTAGCCATGGCGGTGAGTGGGGCACACTCTTTTTGAGCCTGTTTGGCGTCACGTAGCACGTGAACTTGTTACGAGTGGGCAGCTGACCAATAGTCTCTCGTATACAACCTAAAGGCACTAAGTCTGCCAGTACGAGACCCTCGGTAATGAATAAGGAAAGAAGTGTATACCTAAGGGCTCGTTTTTCCGTGTTTTTTACAATAATAATGAGATCTAAGAGACAATAATGCCAAGGAAAGTATAGGGGAAGATATTAGACCAAATTGTAATGTAATTATGAAGAAAAGTGGGTGAAAAAATAACTTACCTTGGGATGGATCCAAACCTGTGACCTTCGAATGACGCGTTCTATACTCTACCACTGATTTACCACGACAGCTATCCCCCCAGCCACTTTATAGGGTTTATATGTGAATAAAACGATGAAGTGTCAGTCAGCGCCACCAGTAGCCATGGCGGCGAGTGTGGCACACTCTTTTTGAGCCTAATTGGCGTCACGTAGCACGTGAACGTGTTACGAGTGGGCAGCTGACCAAAAGTCCCTCGTATACAACCTAAAGGCACTAAGTTTGCCAGTAAGAAACCCTCGTTATGAGTAAGGAAAGAAGTGTATCCCCAAGGGCTCGTTTTTCCGTGTTTTTACACAATATTATTGAGATGTAACAGACAATAATGCCAAGGAAAGTGTAGGGGAAGATATTAGACCAAATTGTAATGTAAATACGAAGAAAAGTGGGTGAAAAAGAACTTGCCGTGGGCAAGATCCAAATCTGCGTCCTTCGAATGACGCGTTCGATGCTTTACCACTGAGTTTTCACGACAGCTATCCCCCTGGCCACTCTATAGGGTTTATATGTGAATTAAACGTTGAAGTGTCAGTCAGCGCCACCAGTAGCCATGGCAGCGAGTGTGGCACACTCTTTTTGAACATAATTGGCGTCACGTAGCATGTGAACGTGTTACCAGTAGGCAGCTGACCAAAAGTCCCTCGTATACAACCTAAAGGCACTAAGTCTGCCAGTACGAGACCCTCGTTAATAAGTAAAGAAAACGTGCATACCTAAGGGCTCGTTTTTCCGTGTTTTTAAACAATAAAAATGAGATCTAACAGACAATATTGCCAAGGAAAGTATAGGGCAAGACATTAGACCAAATTGTACTGTAAGTATGAAGAAAAGTGGGTGAAAACATAATTTGCTGTGCGTAGAATCTGAGCTTGTGACCTTCGAATGATGCGTTCGAGGCTCTACCACTGAGTTACCACGAGAGCTATCTCCCCGGCCACTTTATAGGGTTTATATGTGAAATAAATTTAGGAGTATGAGTCAGCGCCACCAGTAGCCCTGGCGGTGAGTGGGGCACACTCTTTTTGAGCCTGTTTGGCGTCACGTAGCACGTGAACTTGTTACGAGTGGGCAGCTGACCAATAGTTTCTCGTATACAACCTAAAGGCACTAAGTCTGTCAGTACGAGACCCTCGTTAATGAGTAAGGAAAGAAGTGTATACCCAAGGGCTCGTTTTTCCGTGTTTTCACACAATATTAAGGAGATCTAACAGACAATAATGCCAAGGAAAGTATAGGAGAAGATATTAGACCAAATTGTAATGTAAATACGAAGAAAAGTGGGTTGAAAAGATAATTTGCTGTGCGTAGAATTTGAGCTTGCGACCTTCGAATGACGCGTTCGATGCTCTACCACTGAGTTACCACGACAGCTATCCCCCCGGCCACTTTATAGGGTTTTTTTCTGAATTAAATATAGGAGTATGAGTCAGCGCTACCAGTAGCCATGGCGGTGAGTGGGGCACACTCTTTTTGAGCCTGTTTGGCGTCACGTAGCACGTGAACTTGTTACAAGTGGGCAGCTGACCAATAGTCTGTCGTATACAACCT